TCGAAACGTAATAATTTTGCTTTTACAGTTACACTTCAATAGCTCGCAGCAATAAAGATATTACTGCTCGCGCGTTTTCAACGCCACTTTGACGAGCAAACTAATTGTTCCAGCTTCTTCTTCGTTCAAACTTCGCTTAAATTTGCGTAAGAATTTCTTCCGAAAAAGGAAGTGTACAAACAATCCGACAAAATGAAAGTGAAAATGTAAATGCTGCTCTCAACTTAGCTGTGGTGAACCAAATGCCTTGAATTTATTTTCAGACACTTACAAACATATAAAAGTATTTATTATAATACTTGTACTCCTAAAAACCAACGCCATTTGTGCTGATGCTTCGCTTTATAGCTGCTTCGCATGTGAATTTCTGAGAAGACAAACAGAGATATGTAGTCCCTGTAGGAAAAAATAGCTGCTCAGATGAAGCATTATTTGTGCGCTACATTTTCAACGGGACTATCTTAGAACTGTCGCAAAAGAGGTGTATCAATACTGTTTCCAGTGATATCGACTATCCCACATTGTGCGTAAGGCACTGCTGAAGAGAGTAATCGGGACTTCTTGGAAAATAGTCTTGTTCAACGAGAGAGAGAGAGAAAGAGAAAGAAAAAAACAAGATGCCAAAAATCTCATCTCTCACGCTAAAAACATTTATACTATTACTTACTCTCAAGGTATATTCTCTTGTCAAAGCTTGAACCGGATACAGGCAATTATAGATTTTTACTTGAACTGGGCAAAATTCGCAAATTCAAACTATAATCTCATAAGAGGTTAGGTTAGGTTAGTTTGGCAGGCTCATGGTCGCACATAGAACAGTCTCGCTCCTTAGCGATGCCAGTTGATGTGACTTTACGTAGTTCATGAGAAGTAGTCATTCTTAAGGATGCGCTTGACGTGAATATATCAATAGATTCTGCGGCCTCACTATCGACAGCGCTTCCAGTGTTTCTAGCTAGCCGTGCTAGTGCGGGACAAGTGCACAAGAGCTGCTCAATCGTTTCTCTGGTGTCTTGCTCTTGACATTCTGCATTCCTATATTTATTAAAATTTTATTAGAGAACTAGCAGTTTCTCGACTGAAGACTTATATCGCGTTTTATTTGGTTACTCTACATTTGTCTATTAATTCTTGAAACGTTCTTCAACATTTTAGATTAAAGAAAGGGACTGATTAATAACTAGCGATCTAAGTATTTCCTAATCGAAAACTATCTCTGTTACATGCTGGTTGAAAGCATTGCGAACACTTAAGTCGAAAACTAGTCTCAACTCCGTCTACGATTATGCTGCAGTAGTTTTGAAAGAGCTCGATTTGCTGCAGAGCATAAAGGCATAACGACAAAAAAATGCATATATGTATGTATTTAGAAGAAAAATAGAAGCGAATGAAAAATGATGTAATTATTTCATGGCATCTAAATAATAATGAGTACTTTATTAAAAGCGCAATAAAGCGGAAATGGCTTGTTAGAAATTAATTATGCATGCAGAGCATTTGATAACCACAAGCAATTTTGGGAGAAATTTATATTATATATATAGGTATATATACCGAAGAGCATAAACAGCTACACAATTTGAATTTCACAACTCAACAAGAATTAGCAATGCAATAGCTGGAATAATAAATTATTTTTAAAAACACAACAACGTTGACATGTCCAATAGCAATGATAGTATTAGATTGATTTCTTGAAAACGAGACGAGTAATGCAACCGCCGTCAACTACAATCAACTTGCTTATACATTACAATTAATTTTCTGCTTAGCAAGCCCACCTTTCATCACTTCTACTATCTGCTTATGTCGAATCAGGCTTCCGGTTACAACGCACCTTTGCTCAATTCAATATATGCCACGCAAATCCATGGCATCCACAACAGCTGTGTCACACGGCACGACATCACAGCTGGTGCAGTTCCCAAGCTCGTTGGCGAAATATTATCGGCTCTTCTTTGCCATCAGGTGAACATAACTGTATTCAATTTAAAATCTGCCAAGCTGTCAGCCTCAATGTCAAATGAGCTTAATCAATTACTAAATAAGGAAATAAATTGTTTTAGCTATTAAATTATATATTTATATATGTTTTTCTACCTTGATATATATTATATATGGAATAAAGATTTCGTGGCATAAAACCTGCTCGAGCTGCATTTTATTTGAAAGTGGAGGAAACTAGAGAACGACATGCAAGTTGTAATTCGATTAAATCATCTTCTTTTAGTCAAAGTCGGCCGCTATTGGGCAATTGCTTACTTCAGACGGTCCAATACTTGACAATACAAGTCAAGTTTAAGAGTAGGGAAACAGCTTTTAATAAATGGTTCCCTGATAATCGCACCAAACACATAGCAAAATTTTTCTGACCTTCAACTTTAACTTGGCCACCGTTTGCGCTGACTCACTCTGATTCGAAAAAGACCGTTTTAACTTTATGTTTTCTTAAGTGACCTATCTTTCACCACCAGTACCATTAACTTCAATAATACATCGCTTTGGTTACGTTTCAGCAGTGATTCACAGATGAAAATTCGGTTGATGAGGATTTTTCGAAACAGCTCTGGTTTAATACATCTAGCTTCTTATTTATCCATGGCCTTCCAGAATTTGGTGAACCTTTGACATCGAAAGCAAAAGCTTTTACAGTATCAACTATAGCCTTCCACTGCTTTCGCTTATGACGTCATATTTTGCTATCAAATGCACTGGAAAAAAGTAATAGCTTCAAACTGTCGCTTTGCCGATTTCATCCATTCTTGCTGTGATCCATACCCAGCTCAATGAGTCGATGAAAGTACTCCAGCTGCGTAAAACTAATCTCTCTAGCCTGTGTGGCCACTTTAGCCTCAGTAGACTCGTTTTGTAATGGCAATAGTTGTTAATTTAAAAAGTTTGATTTACGCTAAAAATCTAGCTAGCAAAACTGACGATGACACAACACATCAACAATGTCGCCATGAAATTTTTATTAGTCCAACAATTGCTTCTTAACCCAATTTCATAAATCGATTCTTTTGTTCGTTCGCAAATCAATAGAAATTCAATTAAAAATGCACAAAAGCCAACACACAACAATTGGAACTTATACGAATAGAAAACAAAATGGCAGCCAGTAGGGGAAATAGAGGAGGAGTTAACGGTGCACTGAATTATTGAAAACACTAAACAAGCATTGAGCGAAATAAACCAAATGAGTAAGGAGTGGAGAGGGTATAGAGTGGAATTTATTGTTGCAATGGAAGTGGAACGAAACAATGCCATGAAGAGTACATAAAACTAAATAAATGAAGAAAAATAATTTTAAAATAGACGGGCTTAAAGTCAGGCGCTTCAGCTGTGTGACTAACAATATTTGTATGTTTTTATGTGTGTGGCGAGTTACGAATTGATTAAAACACATGAGAATTTGAGGGAGGAATGGATATACGATTGAGCATGCTTGACAATACACAAAACAATAACCTAAAGAAGCGATTATATAAAGGTGATACATAAAAAGGCATTTAACACACATACATATATATTGGGGTGGGTCTAAAAAAAGTCGATAATTTTTTTTGGTTGGTAGACCTCTCAAAAAATGCTCTCCACCTATGAGACCTTATTATGAAAAGGAAGATTCTTGGCATTTCAATTTTCGTTATTGCTTATTATTAAAAAATGTATATCTCAGTATCTACTATTTGGAAAAAAGTATCTCATAGGAAATTGAATTATCTACAAAAATAGTCTCAAATAATTTTTTCGTAAACCTCACCGCTCAAAAGTTATTAAATACATGTTGAGATATGAAATTTTGCTTTCAATATGTAAGTTGCTTTTAATCAGAATTTGACAACTCTAGTGTTGCAATCTGGCAACACCCAACTTTACCGTAAAATTTGACGTTTTTGTTGTTATACCTACTCAGATTGTTTTGACATAAGAGCGCTATTTATGTTGTTTACAGTAACTTAAAATATTCATCTCGGCTTCAAAAAAAAGGAATTAAATCGCGAACATTTTCGCGCAATTATTACTTATAACTTTCGACGTAAATTAACTCAGCAACAGTGACTCGTGGAACTCAATTCAATTTTTGGCAATAAAGCTCCATAAAGACCCAGTATTTATCGATGGTATGATGAATTCAATCAATTAGATCTCTTTAAGTTGAATTTTGTGAAGGTCGTACAAAATCATGTTTTTTCAGAAGCTATAGATGCTGTGCCCAAACTGATATTTCAAGAGCGTTATGTTACCTATAGTGAGATTGAGACAGCTATAGGCATAAGTGGGATCACCATACACTAAATATTGCATCAACATTTGACAGTAAAAAAGACAGATGCTTGGCAATTTTTTTTCTAGAAATCAGGAAAACCAAACGCCGAAGACGGATCACTCTTCACCACGACAAAGCGAGCTCTCACACATCGACTGAAACAACTTCAATTGTGAGCCTTTAAAATATCGATTTAATGAGTTATTCACCGTATAACATAGTTCCGAACGACTTCTTTTTATTAAAAAATAAAATAAAAAGTCAACGTTTTTCGACATCTTAAGAAGCGGTTAATTTGCTCAGAACGCATGTTTTGGAGGTGCCTCAATCAGATTGGCAAAAATGCTTCGACAATTGGTTCAAACGCATGCAAACCTGTATAGATCTAAATGGATAATATGAAATGAGTAATATTTGGTTTTGTACTCTAATCCTAAAACGGGACCTTCCTGTTAAGGTTAAGAGGTCATACTTGGAGCGATTTTTCCGACACTTTCAACCCCCAATCAATTTTTCAGAGCATAAAGTGAAAAATATAAAAAATTTTCAGAGTATAAAGTAAAAAATATATTACATTTTTTGACCCACCCTAAAAAGTATGTAGAAATAATGGTAAAAAAAAACGATATTGCCATTGCACATTCTTCTTTGCATTTTACCTTCCAAACAATTTGGACTATTTCGTAACATTCTTTCATGCCTGTTTTCATTTTTTTTTTTGTATTTTCAGCCAAAGCCGCCACTAAAATCCAAGCCGTTTTTCGAGGACACAAAGTAAGAAACACCATGAAGAAGAGCGAAACTAAATCCACCCCCACCGCTAGCGCCAACGCTGCGTCTGCTAACAAAAATGATTATAGCAAAACCGTTGCTGCGTCGGCGGCAGCAGCAGCCGTAGAGCCGGAGCCAACCAAAGCTGAATTAGAAGCTGAATTCGATCCCAATGACAAAGGTAAGTGGCGCTGTGCTTTTCACACACTAAAAACATGCGGAGTTATGCTGAAAAAAGTTCAAGAATACTTTTGGTAATGTAGAGTAATGGAAGGTAATGGTAGGAATATGATAAAAGTTTTGCGGCAAACAGGTAGTAATCATACTCCCATATGGTAGGCCGGTTTCAAAAGTGTCCTTAATTTTCTTTTATGTTGCCATAGCAATTTAGTTGGTATGCAATTTGCCCATAATGGCAAAAGTTTAATCAATGGACCAATTTGGTGGAGTAAATAAAAAATAAATCTGAAAAGTTTATGAACGATGACACAAATTAAAAAAAAAAGAAAATGAAATTGGACTATAAAACGATAAATTGTGGTGGTAGTGCATATGGCTATAGCAGTAAAAGAGATACAATGTTGACATTTCTGAGTTGCCTGCATAAAGTCTAAATATGTCAGTCAGCCTAAATATAGGCGCACAAGTTCGTTAGTTTTTGAGCTATAGAACTGAAATTTTGCAAACCGTCCTTTGCTCTCCAAAAAGCTATTCATATGTCAGAACTGCCGTTATCGCAGCACTACAGCTTATAGCTGCCATACAAACGGAACGATCGAAATAAAGTGCTTGTATGGAAAGCTTTTTATTTGACAAGATATCTTTACGAAATTTTATATAGATTATTGTCTAAGTCAATGCTACAACAACTGAACAAATAGTTAAAATCGGACCACTATAGCATATTACAGCCATACAAACTGACCAATCAAAAACAAGATGAATATCTTTTTGTACGCTTTGATGTTATAAGCAATGCACCTCTGAAGGGTATTATGGTTTTCATACGGCTAAAGATCACCCTTTTTAACGTTTTTTTTTAGTTTTAACCCATTTAGGCCTAGGTGCGTCGTTAGACAGCCATTCTACCTTTAACCCATATTAGTCAAAAGGCCTGCCCGAAACACGTTGAATATGAAAACACAAAATTCATGTTGTCTTTAAGTTTCTGGAACGCCTGTCTCATGCATATACAGCATACACACACACATATAAGGAAGTTTGCCTTCAATCAAGTTTAATTATCCTTGAAAATTGCATTAAGAATTAACTGTGTTAACAATTTCGCTCGGTTGTTGCCGTCAGCGGCAATCCTCGCACGCTAGTAGCAAATTGTGCGTTGCGTATACGCCACAGCGCACCCATACGTCAGCATTAGCCTTTGTGGGCGCACAACAATGGCTTAGCATATAAAGCAATATTGCACAAACACATACACATATATAATAATATATATATACTACATACATACATATGTATGTATTTATGCATGTGTCTATCAGAAGTTGTTAACTGCCATGCAACACCTTCACTGCCACTGTGCTCGCATTGCGCATAAAAGCTTCACGCTTTCGTTGAAAAATATTTCAAAAATTTGTAATTTTTTGTTTGACACTTGTCAGAAGTAAAAAAAATTAAAATTCGAAAACAAATTGCAATTAAGCAATATATTAATTTCTATCGAAAATAACGCACGAGTACACGGGTAACGTCATTCGATGACTTCGCTTATAAAACGCGTCATTCCCACATTGGATCGCATTTTGGTGCGACGTGCTGAGGCAGCCAACGTCACCAAAGGTGGCATTGTGCTTACCGAGAAGGGTGTGGAACGCATGGTGGAGGGTACTGTTGTGGCTGTCGGTCCCGGTTCGCGTAACCCGCAAAGCGGCAATTACATACCGATGGGCGTGCAGGAGGGCGATCGTGTGCTGTTGCCGAAATACGGTGGCACACGCGTCGACATGGAGGACCAGAAAGAGTATGTGCTCTATCGTGAGGCGGATATTTTGGCTAAATTGGAGTAGTCTATATTTAGCAGGGGCGGCAACGTTGAGCAAACGGGAGGATATTTGTAAAGCAAATTGATGAGCGGGTTTTAATTAATATACTTTAATTTATGGAATAAAATAAATTTCTTTGTTCATTTGAAGTGGAAGAGTGTGTGTGTAATTTTTATTTGGAAAACCATAAAATATTTAAACGCAATTCCGTAAGTTAAAGTGGTAAAAAACTAATGGCAGGATTAAGGAATTTGAGGATTTGTCCACCGAAAGCAAAATCTTTGCAGGACTGCATATTTTCCCACTACCCAAGTTCTTGTCCGCTTGGAGTTTGCAAATCAGACGACATTCCTATCATCTGCTGCTGTTTAGTTGCAGCATCGATACTAAATTTGGGTGTCAACGTGCAGGTTGATTGTCGTGGAAATTACTTAATGGGGGGTTCTGGAGAAGTGCTGTTTCGATGGGATCGGACGATAGGGAAAGAATGTTCGATGAGTTGGATTCATGGGGCATGCAAAGAGGATGTTTGAGTCATGCAATGACTCGAACTTTGGTATTTCGGAGTTGATTCTAGTTAAGTAGGAGCATTCGAAAGGAAGTTGCGCGTTGGACGATCTTTATAGATTCGTGAAGCAATTTTAACTCTTCATCTGCAATGGATGGTTATTTGGCGCCAAGTATGTCATTCACTGGTAGAAAGTCAAAAAAAGTTATTAAGAGTCAATGCTTGCCGCGTCCATTGTCTTGTCAATAAGGTATTCTGTGTCATCGCCATAGTCTAGAAATGTGCTTTTGAAGCTCTGTCTTCAAGCGCCGCTCCAAGCAGATGCTTGCAAGGAGAATTTCTGCGAAAGCTTCCTAACAGAAACTGCCTGGGGAGGAGATCATAGTGTTCCTTTACCGGAAACATACGGATCTCAGTGTTTGATGGAAGAAATTCAGAGGTGTTCTGGTAATGTAGGTAGTCCAGTATTCTGACCTGACAAGCGTATAGCTTCTTCGTCTGCGTCATACTGCATCCTGGCAGCCATACCATTGCTGTGTAGTTAGTGACCGGCTGGTCGATTACATTGTCAGTTATCTTTTCTCCATGTGCCGTCAATTAGCGACTTGAGGATTTTGTTGCGACTCTGTACTTGGCAATACTCACGGTGGTATGGGGAGTGAAAGAGCTTGCACTCGAGTGTTTTACCTAAAATTTTTGTGTAGTTTACAGTCTCTTTCTCTGCTAACCTCGTCTGATGTATTATAACTTGCATCTCTTCTAAAAACAGAACCCGATCCGTAAAGTCGCAAACTTTAAATACATATAACTCTGTTAGTCACTTCACTAAGTTCACATAGTTTTAAATGTGTATGATAGTATGCAAGGGGTATACGAGGTTTGTTCACTTAATATTTAGCCTTCATAAAATAAAAGAAAATTTGAAAAAAACGATAATTTATTTCTCAACACAGCCTCCTGATAGCTTGATACACTTGACGTAGCGATGCTCCAACGGCTTTAGCTCATCTTAAAAATACATTTTCTGGAGTTCTCCAAAGTAGGCCTCAATAAAAGTCTCCGGGTTTGAATTAAAATTTTTGTCCGGCGATTTGCATTTTCAAGTTTGAAAACAGAAATAAGTCTCAACGGTGCCAGATCTGAAGAATACGGTGGATGGTGTAGAAGTTTGTAGCTTAATTCGATTAATTTGCAGTAATGTCAGCGGAGGTGTGAGACGGTGCGTTATCATGAAAGAAGAGTACTTTTCGCAAGGCGCACTAAAACCCGTTGGCGTCTACGTTGAAACTTTTTAACGTTCACCTTTGAAGAAGAGTCGCAGTAAACAGTTTCCAAGCATCTCATTTCGCTAAGAGGTATACTTTCCAAGAAACGAATGACCGACCGATATTGCTCTTCTGCCATTTTTTTTAATTTTACGGTCATGCCCACTTTCACTCGCAGTCTAAACCAAGCTGTGTGGCCGATTCGGTTTCAATTCGAAATTTTTACGGTACTCGTCTAAAAGACTACTACATAATGGTAAAAATCTCTTGCGATAATGGCGCCATCTGATGTGGAGTCCCAATTTTTACTGGCCCACACTCGTAGGCTCAAATTTATGACACAAAATCATAAATATTTCTAAATAAATATAACTAGGTTATATAATAATGTCTATGGTTCACCTATATCTTACTGTATCTATAACAGTGCTTCTTGTGCCGTTATTTTTGTTATTAACTTGAGCGGAAGTTCGCTTTGAAGAAGCATCAAAAATAAATACAACACTGTCAGCAAAGGGCGCTCTTCCAAACTCCAAAGGCTTGCTGACAGGTCACACACATATACATATGTACTCGTATATATAGATACCCGTGTATATCACTCAACTTTTTGCATTGAAAACTTCAAAATGGGCAAAGTTTTTGCCCTTGTTGTTGACAAGTGCTTTCCCACTTTTATTCAGGCGGCTCAACTCGGCTCCATTTCTAGCTTGTCGAAATTTTTTTTTCGTGCTTTCGTTTATATTACTACCAGCAATACCATATATACAGTTATGCGATTCACAAAGCAAAGCAAAAACAGTTGAACTCTGACACACTTCACATACAACTACACGCACGAGTGTCGCGTTATGTGTCACTTGCTTGCTGCCGAGCTGGCAAATAGTTGAAGTCAAACGGTAGCGCCGCCAAAAAATTAAAAATGGATACGAAGCCTAGTGTCTTGAGTGCAATGGTGGCAGCAGGGATGCCGCAAGGCATGATGTGGCATGTACATATGTTTGTGTTTGTAAAGAAGACTCAACGCTACAAATTATTGCTGTTGCTTGAGCAATTCGCATAGTTTGTCTTATTAACTGACATTGCAGTGTCTTTGCGTCGCCCTCGTCGCGCTCTCCACTTCATAACGTTACATGCTTGAATACTTTTATTTTTGTAGCGAGTAATTTTAGCCGAAATTGCTGTACTTTTGCGCGAAGTTGTCAACACCAGCGGCAAGCCAAGAATATTCAACTTGGCAAACAATTTATTGCAATTGTTGTTGTTGTCTACTATTGCTATTACCATTAGTTTAATTGTTGTTGCTTGTTGCTTGTATTCACGGTTTCTCAGTTGCATTGCCATAAATTTGCATTTGCTGTCAGTTGCCTCACTCGAAATGCAACGGTGTTGGCGGCGGAAGTGACAGCGGCAACGCAGTCAAGACTTTGAAGTGTCACTATGAAAGTGGCGGCAAAAGTGGAAGTGACAATGACAACCAGCGGCTCTGCGCCTTTGACAGCAGCACATAAACTGGCGTTTACACTGAAATCAGAGCTACTAGAGCGTGTGTAGAGCGTTAGCTAGCAGTGGCGGGGTAGTGTAGCTGCAACTGTCAGACGTTAAGCAGCCAGAATTGTGCTGAGACATGCACTGCGTAATATATATATATCAAAATACCAAAATATTATATATATTGTATATATATGTATATTTATAATATACTTATATACAGAGTAGTCACGCCTCGTAGTGTGCATAAAAATAGCACACACATTTGTTTGTTGCTTAACACCTTCGCTCGGCGCAGCTCATTAGCTGCGTGTGACACTTGGGTTGTGCGTCTCTGACGCATATACTCTCAATCTAAGCGTGTAATTTTAGCTACGAAATACTTGCTTAGTCGCTTGCATGACGTATCCACTTGAAAACTTTGCACATAACGATTTCGTAATGAGATGGCCTTAATTATTTGTGATTTCACACAAAATAATATATGTTCGTGTGTGCTACTCATAACCTACAAATTGCGGCTTGACTTTTGTGTTAAGGAAATCTAAAAAAGGAATTATATTTGAAAGCATTTAAAGTAGCTCTAAACTTTTCGCGGTAATGACAATGATATTATATAAAGAATATCATATAACTGACAATTTTGTTTATACAATTTTAACGCCCGGTTAACATTTCACAAGCAAATTGTTTAAAGAAAAAATCAGGAAAAGCCTCGATATACACCCGAGATACACTAGGAGATCAGAAACTCCTTCGAATTACGTTTAACAGCGTAAAACTCTATTGTGAATAATAACCGCTGTTGAACTTGTTTTCCAGACAGAGCAAATGAGGCAAACAGTGTTCCGAGAGCTCTCTGGTGTCCAATATTTAAAGCGCGATATGATCCATGCAGTCTTTTGAGATCTGTTTTTGCTTTCTTGCGCGTTTCTCCATCTGTCAGTGCAAAATCGTAGAATAGTTTTTATTTATGCTCCATCCTTTTCGCTTTTAGAGCAACAGGCTGTGGCTTGTCAAAAACCGACGTGCGACCACATTGAAACTCAATAAACCAATTTTTGACTATTTGAAAGAGAAGAGTCATCGTATACAACACATTTTGAGTTGACTGAGTGATTGCCCTACCGAATACACGAATCATTTATTGAAATACTACTCGAAAGTAATCTATTAAGAGCGATTCATTAAATGAAAATTTTACAATATTTCTGTCGAATTTTGATTTATGGTACGGCTATTACTTCCTAGTAGATGATCACATTGTTGCACGGATAAGAAAAACATTATCGAGAATAGAAGTACCCCATATCTGCTGCGAAGTTGTTAAAATAACATTTGCTACAGCAGTTTATACGAAAAACAAGAATATGCGGTTTTAAACTTTGGTTTTAAGTTTAGTATATATATAATATAATCGGATTAAGGTATCTCAGTTATCAGCTATCTAAATTTAAATAATACGGAAATGTAAGAATATGATAGTAATTAAAATGGTATTATATGGAAAGTAGGCGTGGTTTTGTAGTTGTCTGATTTCAACAATTTTCAAGCTGTAACATAAAGATGTCAAGATAATATTATACAAAAAAAAAAAGTGTATATAATTGGTCGAGTAGTTGCTGAGGTATGAGATTTCAGCTAAAGGTGCGTAATGCCATATGCAAATCTTTTATCCAATCCTAACCATTAAATTTAATGCCTATGACGTTTTGTTGTGTTTTGTTGCTATCTCACTCTTCGGCATTTTCAACATAACCTGTGAAATATAGGTTACTATGCGATTTCACGCATTTTCACACTGTATCATGAAGTTTTATAAACAAATTATATCATTATGTTAGATTGCTTTAATTTTAGTAAATTTTGTATATATACCTATGAACCTATT